GTTAATTTCTGATTGTTATGGAGATGTTCACAAGTAATATTGCAACTAGCATAATGGAAAAACTGAGCTGGACTCTAAGAAATGTTCAAACGATTAATTTTGGTCACTTATTTAATCTGCAATTTATTCACTCAATTCTTTGCAAAATTTGCTAATTCTTCACCATATAATTTATACACTGTAATAATGTCTGTCAGATTGGAAAATTTTAATTTGTCACATTACAATCGTTCATGTTTTGCTAATTGAGATATACAGTTTATATTTCAAATGTAATATGTTGATCGCACCTTATCTCAATTATGTATTTTTATGTTTTGAGGTCAAGAAACTGGAAGACCATAATTTTTGTGGGGTTTTCATGTTAATTTAGCTTTACCTTTTTCTTCCTTTATTATTATAAATGAAGTGCTCAATTGTATATTATTAATTATTCCCTCTCGATCAATGGAAGCACGTGCAAATTGTGCTAGAAAAAGGCCTCAAAGATCAAACCCGCCATTAGTTAATAGTATCTTTTAATATGACATGCTCCAATTTCATAAAATAAATCGCATGTTTTTTGGATGTTCTTGCTGCTGAGTTAGTTAATCTACTAATTGATCTTAATTAGCACATGTTAGATAGGTGTATAATGAGAAACGTATGTATGAGAAATGGATGTAGATAGCTATCTAGTTTCTACTCGATTGATAATATGATATTAGAATATTTGGTCTCTTAATTAATTTCTATATAGACGATACTAAATGAAAATTACTAGCAATTAATTATAGTTTTTTAAAAATATTTAATCATAAGCAACTTATGGACATCTATGTATAGATCATGTATATTTTAAACTAGTCAGGGGAGAAAATTCGAACTCGTCTGAATACAACATAGAGACATTGTTCTGGCCTGTAAAATCTTTCATAATTTACTCTGGACATTTTTCTGACTATATTTAAAACCCCATTTTCATTCTGCTGATGTGAATATATATACATTCGATATATTTTGACACAACCTGATGAATGTTAACAGATCCCTGGGAATGGCACTTCCGGATTTGAGGTACTTCACAGAAGCTGCTGTTGCCGCCACCAGAATATTCGACAGGATTGACCGGAAACCCTTGATTGATGGTGAAGACACCAAAGGAGTGGTGCTAGACAACATTAGAGGCGAGCTAGAATTCATTGATGTCAAGTTCACATACCCCTCTCGTCCCAATTCCATGGTCCTCAAAGATTTCAACCTCAAAGTTGAAGCTGGGAGGACCATTGCTCTTGTAGGTGCAAGTGGAAGTGGAAAATCCACGGCAATCGCGTTGCTGCAACGCTTTTACGATGCAGATGATGGCGTTGTTCGTGTTGATGGTGTTGATATAAGAACGCTTCAGTTGAATTGGATAAGATCCAAAATGGGACTTGTGAGCCAAGAACATGCATTGTTTGGGACATCAATAAAGGAAAATATTATGTTTGGTAAGCTTGATGCTAATATGGATGAAGTCACAGCTGCAGCTATGGCAGCCAATGCTCATAATTTCATAAGGCAACTGCCAGAGGGTTACGAGACCAAGGTGAATATATGTACTAATTGAAAAAGGGTATTTATTGCTAAGAAAAATTTATTCCAATTATGATCAGATGCACACCTATGCGGAGCTAAGTTGGCTAAAGTAGATGTGCACCCCTCTAAAACCCTAGTTCGAATTTCTCTCTTTGTAGTTTAGGTTAGGTAGGATTTTGGGGATCATGTAGTATAGATTAGATTAAAGTTGAAAATCGCTTTGAATAAAAAAAATACAGTCATTTTTATTAGATTTGACGTAATTGTGATTAACATGGCGGAATTTATGCGACAGATTGGTGAGAGGGGAGCTCTTTTATCTGGTGGACAAAAGCAGCGGATAGCCATTGCTAGAGCAATCATCAAGAACCCTGTGATTCTCCTACTTGATGAAGCAACAAGTGCTCTTGACTCTGAATCAGAGGCTTTGGTCCAAAATGCTCTTGATCAAGCCTCCATGGGAAGAACCACATTGGTAATTAATCACATAAATGTTATGCTAATTAAGAACCGATTTTTTGTTGGAGTAGGATTGATTTCGTGGTTTTTTACCAAAAAAAATAAAAAATTAAGATTCGATTGATATTTACCTCAATTAGTACATTAATTACCTTTCATTATCTCACATATTTTTGGACCATGATCAGGTTGTTGCACACAAGCTTTCCACGGTTCGAAATGCAGACCTAATTGCAGTGGTGGGTGGTGGTTGCATCATCGAAATAGGCTCCCACAACGACCTCATCAACCGCCAAAACGGGCATTATGCAAAGCTGCAGAGGCAGCTGAGTACTTTTGACAACGTTGAGCAAGAACAAATTTCGGTGTCTTCCGTCAGTAGAAGCAGCGCTGGCCGGCTAAGCACAGCAAGATCAAGCCCTGCACCAGCGTTTGCAAAATCGCCATTACCTAATGAGACCCTACAACTTGTGTCACATCCTCCGACTTCCTTTTACCGGCTTCTCTCTTTAAATTCCCCGGAATGGAAGCAAGGCCTAATAGGAAGCCTCTCTGCCATAGCGTTCGGGTCCGTTCAACCTATCTATGCCCTAACCATAGGTGGCATGATATCCGCTTTCTTTGTGCAAAGCCATGAGGAAATGCGCGCTAGAATTCGCACATACTCCTTGATTTTCTGTGCACTTTCCTTAATTTCCATGACTTTGAATCTCTTCCAACACTACAATTTTGCTTACATGGGTGAGCAGCTCACGAAAAGAATCCGATTACGAATGCTTCAAAAGATCTTGACCTTTGAAACGGCTTGGTTTGATGAGGAGCAGAACTCGAGCGGGGCATTGTGTTCGAGATTGAGCAATGAAGCTTCCATGGTTAAGTCTCTCGTTGCAGACAGGGTGTCCTTATTAGTCCAAACCACTTCAGCTGTCACAATAGCCATGATCCTGGGGCTCATCGTGGCATGGAAGCTAGCACTTGTTATGATCTCGGTCCAACCACTCGCGATCCTTTGCTTCTACACCAAGAAAGTCCTGCTCTCTAGTCTCTCAGCCAACTTCATCAAAGCACAAAACCACAGCACTCAAATTGCAGTTGAATCAGTGTACAACCATAGAATTGTGACATCATTCGGAAGCGTAGGAAAAGTACTTCAACTGTTCGATGAGGCTCAGGAGGCACCGCGGAAAGAAGCAAGGAAGAAGGCATGGCTAGCTGGGATTGGAATGGGGTCAGCTCAGTGCCTAACATTTATGTCATGGGCATTGGACTTCTGGTATGGTGGTACATTAGTGAAAAAAGGGCAAATATCAGCTGGGGATGTGTTCAAAACATTTTTCATATTGGTCAGCACTGGTAAAGTTATAGCTGAAGCTGGAAGCATGACTTCTGATTTGGCCAAGGGTTCGACTGCAGTTGCATCCGTGTTTGAGATTCTTGACCGGCATTCACTAATTTCAGGCTCTAATAATGTAAGTCACAAATCGGAAAACCTACACCCTAAATTGAAGTTGGTTTTTAACTTATGGCTATTATATTAATTTTGATCTTTCTTAGGCTGGGGATGGAGATGGTAATAATGGAAACGGGATCAAATTAGAGAAAGTGACTGGAAGGATTGAATTGAAGAAGGTTGATTTTGCATACCCCAGCAGGCCAGAGACATTAGTGCTGCGCCAATTTAGCTTAGAGGTGAAGCCAGGCACAAGCACTGGACTTGTTGGGACAAGTGGATGTGGAAAATCAACTGTGATTGGATTGATACAAAGATTTTATGATGTAGAGAGGGGATCAGTGAAGGTGGATGGGGTTGACATAAGGGATCTAGATATTCAATGGTACCGGAGGCACATGGCCCTTGTTAGTCAAGAGCCGGTGATATACTCTGGTACCATCCGAGACAACATCATGTTCGGGAAGCTTGATGCGCCAGAAAATGAGGTCACAGTAGCTGCCAGAGCCGCCAATGCGCACGAATTTATCTCGTAAGTATAGACAATGTCAACATTGCTTCTTAAACGAAAATATTTAGCCATAGGATTATCACTGCGATCATTTCAAAACATTGTGTTTGCTTATCTACTTGATTTAGTTCATTGAAAATTGTTTAGCCATTTGATTGTCATCCTGATCATTTTGAAACACTGTGTTCATCTTTTTATCGGATTCAGGTCACTTAAGGATGGGTATGACACTGAGTGCGGCGAAAGAGGGGTGCAGCTATCAGGAGGACAAAAGCAAAGGATTGCTATTGCAAGAGCAATACTTAGGAATCCAACAGTATTGTTGCTAGATGAGGCAACAAGTGCACTTGATGTGCAATCAGAGCAACTTGTGCAGGAAGCATTAGATCGCATTATGGTTGGAAGGACAACAATTGTGATAGCACACAGGCTCAACACCATAAAAAACCTAGATATGATCGCATTTGTTGCAGATGGGAAGGTGGTGGAAAAAGGCACATATGCTCAGCTCAAGCAAAAGCGTGGTGCGTTTTTTAACCTTGCCACGTGCCAGAGATAAGTAAATGTAAATAAGTTTTAACTCTGCAAGTGCAATGGTGCAAAATGTTGGCCTCAACTCAGCTCAAGTGGTTATGGAAGAACCATGTTTATGTAAGGGTTTGTTCATCAGTGAGGAATTGTTGACTCTTAGATAGGAAGTTGTTCCTAAGGCTAAATGTAATAGCTTTGGTGCCAAATAAATAATAAACAATATATGCTAATTTTCTTATTGGATTTTTCTTTTTTGCGGGTTATAAAATGCAAATATGTGGTCAATTGCGCATATTATTGATATTGAAGATACATTAACCTTAGAATTATCGATATACAATCAATATAACAACGTCGTTGATAAACGTCAAAAACTTAACTACACTTTTATGCATATGTGCAAACTTCTTTGATTGGAGATGGAAAACAACTAGGATTTGGTTTGAAATAAGACCCCAAATTAATGCACTCAATCAAAGGTATAAATCGAAATTATACTTCATGAAACTTGAAGTTCATGATTTGCATTCTCTGCTACAACATCATAAAAGGTTTAGGATACCCTTAGTCATTTTTTAAGATTCCCCTAATTCATAAACAAAACAACAACAACAAGAGCAACCTTGCTTATTTATTCCAACATTAAACTAAATTACTCTAGTTAATTATATAGATAGACTTCATGTTTGGTTGCATTGCTTCACCATTTCATTTACTCTGGGGGCTGAGCAGCATCTGCAGGTCCAGCTTGTCGTAGCAGATGAAAGTAGGGTTCCATTTTCCCTTTGAGAGTCTTGTGAGCCCTTTTAACCAGCTGGAACTGACTCTTGGTCCTGCACACATGCATTCATGAACAAGTTTATAATCACTAATTGGCAAAAACAGCTTCTTCCAAAAGTGATTCCAGCTTTCCATAGTCACTCCCAAAACCGACCCTAGTCTAATACGCTTTAATTTTCTTTTGAATATTCATAAATAAAACTTAAACAGTACATAAGAAAATGTGCACAAGACACTAATTTCAACATGACTGCAAAAACGACAATTTGAAGAGGCAAAATTAAATCGGCCATAACGGCTACAATAACTTTTACTTCATGATTTTAAAGGAAGAAAAATATAAAAATTTGGAATTAACAGTAAAGTGGTAGCATCTCATCACCTTTCAACGTCTTCTGCCTTGAGAGCCTCCCTCATCTTGTTGGTCTCAATCCGTACTTTGTTAGCTCCAACGCTGTATGACAAAACAGTCTAGTTAATTGCACAAGTTATACAAAAACATGTTAGATTTTTATCAAATATATAAGCTCAAATGCTAGCCTGAAAATAATAATTATATTTATTGTAATATACAGAAAAATGCCCTCTTGCTAAATATGTCAGATTTACCTGGCGCTGCTACCTTTGAGCTGGTGGAGAAACTTATCAAGTATGTTAGCGTCGTACGGGGGTCTCTCCCTACGAAAACACGGGTAACCGATGTCGTCATGATCATCATCATCAATGTCAAACCTAAAGTAGAAAGACCAACTAGCACATGTTCTGGTAACATTTTTCTTTCTAGTGTCTGGAAAATGTCTCAAGTTCAATTTTCTCCCCCTCCCGTCAACGAGGATGAAAAAGTGAAAATAGAAAGAAATTAATGTTATAGAAGTAGTAAATGAACTCACAGTGCTTTCTCCACAGAAATTAACAGTTTGGAGGAGTCCCTGAAATACAAGGTCATAAGCTCCTCAGCAAAGTTGGGGTTGTGTACATCTTCCAATTCCTCCATCTGCACAAACTGTTTGTCCAAAATTTCCTGGAAAACCAGTCCTACATATTCAGAAAAATCCAACGAAAAAGGAACAACCGAAAACTGAGAAAACGAAATGATTATCAAAAAGAAAGAGAGAAAAGAGGACCTCATCAAAGAGAGATTGCCTCATGGCTGCAACTTGTTGACGCAAGGAATTGCCCTCCATTTTCTTGATCTCTGCAGACATTGAAAATATTGAATTGAGTACGACAATGACAAGCCGAGATGGCGATTTATATACCGAGGAAAAGAAATCGGGAATACGCCACGTTTATAGGCATGCATTTACTCCTCAAAAAGTGCAGATTATGCAGAATCCAAACAGCAGAAATGGCTGATTGTGTTGGCATGCAAAGAAATGATGTGCAGTGGAGAACTGTTTGTCTAGAGCCGCTTAATTTGCTTAGAACACTCGCCCGGCCAGCGCGTGCATGGCTCTCAACTGTTAATGTGAGCGAGTGGCTGTCAGTTGTTAATGCGTGCATGAGACACTTGTCTGAGCAATGGTTCTTAGCACCTTGTTTCTATATATCATCATATCTAGTCCCTAGATTGCAAAATAAATGCATAGAGATTTTGTTTGTTTATTTGTGACAGCTATGGATTCTCTGGAGTAAATTCATTAACTGTCATTGTTGAGGATCTGGTACTCTGGATTGCATACCAAGTCAACTATTTGAAACTATTTTTTCATTACTTAAGCAAAGATTATACCACTTATTTCTAAAGGTGTTCAAAATCCAATCCAAAACCCTAATTCGGTTGATTTCATAACTTTGCTGGATTGGATTCGAGCCCTAAATTCAAAATTCGACACGTTTGAATGTAATATGATGTTGGCTTTCTCTATAAAAAAAAAAAATATTCCAATCTAAATTTACTTAATTCAAACACTTATTCTTATATGCATTTGAAGCATAACGCCTAACTTTTCAAGAAAAATAATTTTTAGACTCTCTTTTTCTCTAGCCATTGAATTGGGTAAACCGGCAAAGGAAAATCGAAGAACAAAAACAACGGGAATGAGTGCAAAATGAGAAAACAAGAGCGCGTAAGTCATATCCCGTCTTTAGAATTTGTTTTTAAATTTGAAAGCTATAAACAGGAAAAGAAAGAATCCACTCATGTATAATGCAATATTTATATACATTGGATGAACTTGAACGCAGAGCAAAATGTACATGATTGGACCTTCTTCCTAGCTAGGAAACTTGGTCCCAATGGTTTTGCCAAAATCATAAGAATAACTTCACTCCTTCGATGTTCAGTGGAGGAAAAAAAAAAAACACAAGGGTTGGAAACGTAGAGAATACAACATTTATAGAAGCTTATGTTTTCGATTTATAGTTCAGAATGCCGAGATTGAGTAATATTCCGCCAGGAAAATTGGGAATGTGGAAAGAAAGAATGAGCAAATAACTAAAAGAAATCTTTCTTGCCATCGCGCTTCTTTTCTTTTCTTCAAGCAAATATGATTGAACAATTTGCAATTTTTTCTTGGCCATCTTTTACTGTTGTCTCAACCAAACCAATTAAAATTGAGGATTGATCTAGTGTTCTGCAGTAACAAACTGGTTTCCAGTTGTTACAGTTTGAAGAGATCGACCAAGTCAGCTCTGTACAGGTCAGATAAAGGTTCCTGAAGGCTGAAGACGAGCGACCGGTTGACAGTCACTAGATCTTTCCTGCCCTTGCCTCCTGAATTCCTTGAGAGGCTGTGATAGAATTGGATTTATCGAAAGAGAGAAAAAGACTGTTATTCCACTCCCCCCCTCCTCATAGCCTTTGCTGGCGTTTTCTTTTTGTTTTCAGATCAACGACGACAATGGATATGTTGTCTGAACTATTTCTTCCATATGCTATTTCAGTGAGATAGTCGGCAACAACTTGTGCTGGAGAAACATCGTCAAGTGTGGAGATTGACCTTCGCCGCCTTCTTAAATGATGACGAGCCACCTCTCCAACTTCGTCATTAGTCATGACATCCCAAAGCCCATCGCTTGCTAGAATCAAGCACTCATCCTCGTCAGTCCGCGTCATGAATGTCACCTCAGGAACTGGAATTATCCAAGGCCTCAGATACCTATCACCTGACATGTACCCACCATTCAAAGTTGAGTGCACTGGATCATTGAATGAGTCGAATCACAAAGACCTTGGCTCTTCGATATCAATCATACAACAAACAAATGGAAAACAGGGAACGGCATATTAAGAAGACTGAGATGAAAACCTATAGCTCTGGACATGGCAAGAACTCCAAACACCCTAGCACCATTCCAGTTTATGACTTTCCCTCCATCTCCTTCAATCCTCTTGAGTTCGTCTTCTCTATCCGGCTGTAAAAGCAGCAACACGAAACTGCGTCCTTAATATCATTACGAAAATAATGCCAATAATATTAAGAGCCTAATTAACTTGTGAATATCACTACTTCCTGTTATTTTCTCAACTGCTCTCCACGTTTTACAGGTTGAATGTTCTTAACTACACCCCGATAAGAAGGATATTATTTTAATGTAAATTCAGCTTTGATTTCTATGTATCTAGAAAGGTATAAACTTTAAATCAGCAATGCCTGCAAATAGGAGTAAAGCTCTACAAAAATAGACCAGAAGTAACAAAGCAGAGAGTTCAAATCTATGAAAACTTCGAAAAAAGAAGAAGAAGAGTTTGTGAAGCGACCTTCTGATCAACAGTTAAGGGGATTGTTTCGGTCCCTCGGCAAAGAAGAGCCCTAGAGTCACCACAATTAGATATGATAATCTGGCAACCAGATAGAACCGCAACAACTGCAGTTGATCCAACCATCTCCGGCGCAACTGACTCTGCCATGAGCTCATTGTCAGCTCTCTCAAAACCAATCGAGAATGCCGCTTCCCACCTCCTTCGCCATTCGTAGCCGTCAATCGTTTCTCGATCCCACTCCTGTGCAATCACTTCATGCATCCTCTCAGCGCAAAATTTAGCCACCTTTGGATGTACAGGATAGTGTCAAATATGGATAGATTGGATAAGTACACAACTGCAAGTAACTGTACCTTTAAACCTTTAGGGTAAAATACGCACATAAAGTATTGGTACAAACTTTTAATCAACAATAAAATCAGAAGACGCTAAACAAAATGTGCCATTGTTTATTTTAATTAAATAATTGTAACCAGTTTTATGTGTGAGTATACATTTTCAATAGAAACTTTTGTACAGAAACAAAGTTAGAACTAGAAGGCTATGAATTTTCAGTCCAAATCAAGGTGAGATCATGAGAAAGCACACAATTTAGATTCCAAAAGAAAATAATGGAAGGGGACCCAATATACCACCGTCCGTTTATAAAAAAATCAAACACAAAGCCACACAAAAAAAGAATGGTCCCACCAGGATTTTTCTTTCCAACAAAAATGGAACCTGTATGATCTTGGTGATTCGTCCTTTTCAGACAATTACACGCTCAGCGCCCCACCAGCAACCCAAATAAAAATTTAATAATTTTCTTCTAAACCAATCATAATACTTACAAAAACCAATCGCAACATAACAATTATTTTTTTACCGATTTACTCAGTAGAAAAAACTTAAAAAGAGTAAGTTTTTATCATGTCATCATTATATTATCGTTGTGCAATCGCTATGTCATCGATATATGATCAATATGTTGTTACTAAAAACTGATCATTCATGCAACCAAATGTCAAAAGCTGATCACTCCAGCTTAATTACCCTAAATAAATAAACCAGCACTCGTGCCAAATTTCTAAAATGTTTGATCAACTGCTCCAAAGAGAAAAGCAACTTACAGGAAACATGTTCATCGTCACACTTGTTTCGATCCAGTAATACGATGTTACGCGTTGCAAAACTTCAACGTGTCAGTGTTTTATTAAAAACAGAACGTCAGGGTGACACCAACCTCAATCCATTCAGTCCCCCCCCCCCCCCAAAAAAAAAAGACTGTACACACTACACTTCTTGCATTATTGTAACATTTCAATCTAATAACACAGTATTGTCAAAAAATTAAAACATATGACATTTAATTATTCATTTAAATGTAACGGTAGCGTGTTGAAAAATACATGAGCCATAGTCCAATAGCTTAGGTCTTTTTGTTTTGTACTTTATTATACCCTAGGGGAAATTTGTCTAAGCCACCTAATAGACGAATATTAATTTCGTATCGAATTTATAATTTGTATAAACTTAACATAAAATATCTCACTTACAAGTGTTGATGATAATATAATTATGTCATAATTCTGGTAACCTAGTAACAGCCAGGGTTTTCACAATTACCGGGTCCCGCTGTTACTACATGATGCGACTGTGACGAACTGCAGCGCGCATGCAGGTGACGGTAGCATTAACCCCACAATCCCAGGCACCCTAAAAAAATTTCGCTAAACAGGGAGGGAATAGGCGCGGCCCAGCTCACCGAGACCGAAATTGCACAGATTCCAAAGACACGTGTCCCGGCTGAGAACGAAACGCGCCCCTAAAATCCATTAATGTGGACCACTCCCTGCAGGGCACGTGTCGTCGTTCCTCAGAAACAATGATGGCTCCAAAACAATATTCACACTCCTCTATAGTGCTAGTGTTTTACTTCCCTTTTTTTATTTTCTTCCTCTCAAACTATAATTAAAATATTAATTATTAATTATTAATTAATTTTTGGGATTTTTGAAGCGGCCGCGCGTCCAACCAGATTCTTCCACTCAATTAGAAATAAACTAAAAAAAACCTATCATCAACAGAGAAATGGACTAATGAGGAAACCTGATTGCCGCCATGGCCGTCGTAGACGCCGAAGAAATGAACGGGTGAGATCTCGGCGGAGGATCTGGAACCAGGCGCCGTACAACCGCCCACGTGATCGCACGTGCGAGACATGAAACTCGGAATCACAGCGACGGCGTCCTCCATCTCTCGCCTCCTCCCAATCACCGAAGTGAAACCCCAGGTCACTCCCTTGTTCCTCCCTACGCACTTGGGCCGCGCAACCGCTACTCTCACTTCTTCGGCGGTCGAGAGCGCTGGGTCGACCAGACTCGGGACCAGCAGCGCCCGAATCTCGCCAGAGCTGCTCGTCGTCGTCCGCGAGACCTCGCCGGAGCTCGTCGCGCTTCTGTAGTCCTCGGAGGTGATTACTGAGGACAGGCTCACGCTCGAGCTCGAAGATGCCAGTTCGACGTCGGGGAGTGAGTTGACTCGCTCGAGTTGCTCGTCCTCTGTGGAGTCCATGTTCCGAAGCGAGCGAGAGAGGGAGAGAGAAAGAGAGAGAGGGAAGGATGGGGATAAAATAGGAGGGAAGGGACAGCTAGGAAGGCGACACGTGTGCGGAGATATAAGTTCGATGACACACGCATCCGTGGTGAATGAGGGAAAAAAAGAGGGCATTGATTGTAGGTAGTCGTACTCATTTGCTTTTCGCTGCACCGTTACGTGTCCTCATTTCAGATGGCCCTGCCACGCTGGAGCGCTGCTTGTCTGCTGCAGCATGTTTACACCCGTCTATGCACCCGCAATAAACGTTGACAAAGTTAGACTTAGGATAGGCAAAATGATTGATATAGATTCTTCGTAGATCAGACTTACAAAAACATTTAAAACATGAATAGATTTGTAACATCGTGTATCAATATCACGATATAACAGACATTACTTTAGATTATCTTTCAAATGTCCCTTCTATGCATGCTTTCACATTGGAGAACGATGCTTGTCGCTACGACTTCTTGTATTCCATTATTTGCACTCGCAAATGCATAATATGTGCTTTCTAACAAAAATAAAACCATTTTCTAAAAGAATTTGGCAAAAAAGGATTAGTAATTTTTGTGGATCATAGAAGCTTTTTTCTAGTGAATGCTTAGTTGATGTTTTTTTAAGAAACACTTTTAAGTGCCTTTTTAAGGAGCACTTGAATTTTTAATCAAGATTTAAACTATTTTCAATAAAACGCTTATCGATACAAGTGTTTTTATAAAAAAAATG